AAGGATATATGCGGATATATTGACATATACGGGTATAAACGAAGATACGGGAAATTGAATATGATCATAATAGTTTGCAATACGTTCACCTCCTTTCATCGTTTCGCTTGGCCTTTGATAATGGGTGTGGGAGCACAGTGTGTTTACGGCAAGCCCAGGGTGTGGGGCATGCTACAAATGCTCTCGAAACGGGAGATGCAATAGTGCGGGCGTTAGGCGACAAGTAGACGATCGCATATGACAATACCGAGACAAATGTCAAAACATTGTGTTATTGTCGGTATTTAGCGGGTACGTGGCCGGTAGGCAGTAGGGTGGCGGCAGGTACTGGCATTTAATTGGATTTTCCCATCATTTCAGGCGGAGGCAGGTTTTCTCTGAATAATGTGTCGGTTAAGATAACAGGATGCCGCGCGTTTGTGTTTCTTCCCACATTTTTTTCTAGTCTCAGTAATATCTTGCCTGGTTGTGAACGGGGTTAGATAATGGGAGGTATGTGTCGCCAGAATTAGAGTGCAAATGTGTGAATTCACATCATGTAATGCTTAAAAATATGCGGTTGATGGTAATATCCCTTCCCTACATATCCCTGCATGCGTTTTGTCGTACGCATGAAGAACTACCCACTCTCGCTGTCTTACACATTATTTTATTGCTGCGTTGGATATCGGCAATGACGTTTCGTGAAAAGATAATCCTTATTTTGTCGACAATTGCAGCCATGTGAGGCGAAAATGTTTGCCTACTTCCATATTTACTTGCTCCTTGTTTCATCTCACACTGAGCCCGCCTCCGAAAACGAACTCCCACGCGACAATTCGCGATCTGTCTGGGGTCCGGTGCCAGACGACCAGGGCCCTTGAGAAACTCGAAGCGGGAAGCGTCCCCGTCCGACCAATTATGAATGCCATTAGAACATTTTCATCCACGCGCCAAACTTCGTGCGCTTGACAACAGGCAGGCTGGCGCGAATGAAAATGGCGAGAACAATCAGTTGATCGGCCAAGGTAACCGATGCCCGTAACCGCGTAAGTCAGAAGTCAGTGAACCAGACTTCGCATGAGGCCAAGGGAAATGCAACCACAATAAAGGTGTATATATATATATATATATATATATATATATATATATATATATATATACCGCGTGCGGGCGCAGCGGTCCTTGCCGAGCCCGCGCCGCCCTCCACGTCCCCGGCCGCGCCGCCGCCCGGATTGTCTGCGTCCAGTCAGTCGGTGAGCCCCGGGGCGCGGCCGCACCCAGGCCAGACACGGCCGCCAGGCGTCTTGGCAATTCATAGTAACCATGCTTGACTGCATGCACCACGTGATCATCGGTGGAACGCCAGGCCGATTGTGCCATCTGCTGACAAAAGAGGGAAATAGCGGCAGGACTCAAAAATGCTGTTCTGTAGTGTTATCAAGCGGCAGGAATCCAAGCTAGCCTGGTTGTCATGGATACTGGACGTTTTGAACACTGGACTTAGACTCTGGACTTCGCGACTCTGGACCTTGCGTCCGTGGACCTTATGAACGCTCCCAACGGCCACGGGATTGGGCATTTTCTAGACGTCATGAACACTGGATGCTGCGGTCCTGGACGAAATGAACACTGGACGCTACGATCCTGGGCTTTTTTATGGCTCCCCTCAGAGGGGGGGGGGGGGGGGCGGGGGAATCCCTTAATTGCCGTACGGTGTCAGCGAGAAATCTGTCGGATGAGCGTGACAATATTGCGGGAAAAAATGAGTCAGTGCTTCTAGCTACGCGGACGACAAAACCGAGATGAAGGAAACGACGATGATACAATATAATCGAAAATACCTCGTGTAACGCAAATGGTGGCCAGTATGAGCAGATACCGCCTAAGAATGAAGGAGAAAGAAAAGTCGAGGGAAACCTAGCAATGATATAATGGAAAACTCCCGCGTAACATAAGAGGTGGCCAGTATCGGCAGATGCCGCCTGAGAATGAAGAAGAAAGAAAAGTTGAGGGAAAACATAATGGTGGCCAGTATGGTATGCCGCCTCAGAGTCAAGCGAGAAAATTCAAGTTGAAGGAAACAACGACGTTATATCATTGCAAAATCTGCGCGTAACAGTTCCCTCCGTCCTGATCATCTTGTTTCGTTCGGAGGGAGAATTCCTGGCCACGGCCAGCTTGCTCTCTGTCCCATGCCCCGTCGGGAAGCTTCACCGATCCTCGACGGTGTGGGAAAACGCTGTATAGAAATGTACGCCTAGATATAACCTTATTTATAGATGACAATATTTTCCTAAGAGCTCTGGCTAGTAATACTTTCATGATTGTCTTAAACACAAACCACAGGCGTGTACTTTCTCCACAGAGAATTTTCATCAAACAACGCTGACTGAAGCTGGGGCATTCCCTGACCAATCGACAGGGGGAGTGGTCAGTCATACACCCTCATTTCTCGGATTTGGATAAAAATGGGTCACGGCGGCTGTTAGCGGCGCTGAAGACGCCTGTGACAATTTGAGGTCTCCTAGTTGAGCGGAATCGGAGTTGCAGACTCCGGTGCTTTCGTGTTGTGTGGCTGAGGGGCTGCGTTCGGCTGCGATTTCTTCACTACGATGAAAGAAAACCGTACAAAACTACAAGTCAAAATGATGCGGAAACCTTCCAGACTACGTGTGCCTCGTAGTTGGAATCATCATTGCACAATAAATACTGACTGCGGCATTATTATGAACATTTGCAATGCATGCAGAACCGTTGTTCTCTGTGATCTTGGGCCTCTCCTCGTTGGCATGCAAAATAGCGTAGCTGAACATCACAATGTAAAAATAAAAAGGCAGTTATCGACTTGGAAAGGTTTGGGAACAATGTCACAGCAGGGGACTACGCTTCATTCGCGCCATCGGCCGTCAGCTACCGGCACAGCATCTTCCATGCGTCTCTCCGCACTGGTGGCGGAAAATGAGCGCACTGTGAAAAAACAGTAAGTTTAACAACACGATAGCTCGCAGACACGTGGAAGTCAGCCCAGTGCGCCAGTGACTCAGTCTAACTCACCCTTAATTCATCAAATGTCTTTAAATCAAGCGACCGCTACTTTCCTCCCGACGTCGAGTCTAACACATGGACAATGACAATCCGAACACTCACTGTGATTATTCTGTGAGCCTTCAGTGCCCTTTAGACAGTCTTGATCGTAGCGAAGCTGATGCTAAGATAATCCTTTGCCCGAAGTACTTCACCTTCTAGGAAGGGGGAAAATACCGTCTGCACACTAGCCTTGCACTACAAGAACTGGCATAACTTGTCAGCAAAGCAAATATGATCGGAATGGAGGCGCCACAGGCTGGTACTGGGCGCAACCCTTCTCAAGTTCATGTCCGTAAAGTTAGCGATTTATTCAGCGATTTATTCAGCGACTAGTCGCAATTTCTCTGAAAAAAGGTGTGAGGGTCAACTGACGCATGAAAACACCAAAAATGACCCTTATTTTGGAACATCATGTGACCTTCAAGATCAAAAGCTGGGTCAAAGGACGGGGAACTCGATACCACCCAAAAATTACCTACCGATTTTCAACTCGCAAATGTCAAAATATTCCTCACAGACAGAAGTAGCGTCCGTCAAAAAGTCCTGACCTCTCAATGTCACTCTTCAAGGTGAACCACAAGCTCAAAGGACGGAGAACCCGATATCACTCACAAATTGCCGGCTGATTTGAAAACTATCAGCATCAAGCTATTCACAAGCAGGCTGTTCACTGGCAATGGCGACCTAATCTGAATAAGTGAGCACAATAAAAGGCGGCATACTCCCTTTAAACCTCGCCGTGCGCTTGTTTTGTGCTTTCCAAATGGATCAGTTCAACGGGTTTGTTTGAGCGTTTCAACGTCGCGAGAAACTGTTAATACAACCACGCGCTCCACCTCCACAACAGACAATGGCCCAAGGCCCAATCACCTAGTCCTCGTCTAAGTCGCCCCACATGAAAAAACCCACACCACCTTCACAGCACGCATTCACCTCCCCTCCCCGTGCTCCAATTACCCCGGCCCGATGGCACAAATAGGGGGAGCGGAAGGAGGGGGGGGGGGGGGGGGCAGCCTGCTGCCACGCCATGCGCCCAGCCTATATGCGCTACACACGACTCGTTTATGCATGGACCATATATTTCCAAGTGGATTATCACCTTTCATACATGCCAGTTTTGGTGCATGAACCACGCTCCTTTGCATGCTGATGAGAAGAATGTCTATGTAGGATATCACACGGGATGAATGTGAAAAAATACTACAGGACATTGTTCTTAGTGCCTTGCAACAGTTCATCACGCCGTTATAATTGCTCGCCCAATGACGATTTTAAGAGCGGCATACAGATATCCAGACACACTTTCTGGCCACTTTAACATTACAGGTTTGTTAAAATATCCTTTAAGCAAGTGGAAAAAGCTGTCACCGGAGGTAACCTCGCAACCGCGCAACTCGAAACTGCCGAAGGTCATAACTCCGAAGAGGTGCAACTGAGATTTAAAATTGTCACCAGTGACTTCAGCGCTGATGAGAACCACTCTGACCCAGTTTTACCAGTTTTATTATAATCCAAGGGATGTGGTGTAAGGCAACTGTAGATTTGTCATGGCATGCCCCAGCTACATCCTCCACGTCTCTCTCTCGCCCGATCTGAGGCGGACATTACCTCAGACCGTTTCAAGCAATCCTCCAATTGAGATAATAAAAATGGGGCTTGCAACCTTGGTCCTAAGGCATCTCATTAGTCGGAAAAGCAGGTTTTCCTACGAGCAATAAGGCATCACAGCCCACACACCCACACTAAAATATATATATATATATATATATATATATATATATATATATATATACATATCAACATCTCCACACTGCCGGAATCGGAATCATCAGATGACTACCGGAGGGAGATAAATTTTTGAGGAGCTTCCTCCCAGAAGGACCAGTGATCTTCGGTAAACCGCACCATGGTCGTGAAGCGCAAAACCTTGCCTCGTTTACAGCAGCATATATTTGGCGGCACCTATACACATTGTTTAAGGAAAAGCGAAGACACCCGACGGTCCGTACCCACTCGGCAAAGAAACTCTAAACCAGCTCCGTAGTCAGCCGGTTCGATATGCAATTCGTGCCAATCTAGTAGAGAAGTGGCCATACAAAAATATATGCAGCCACCAACTATACTTGGGAACGATTCATCATTGTGACCCACCAGTAAATGGCATAATAATTACTCTGAAAATTAGTTGCCGGCGCGCGACACGACGCAGGAGGGCACTGCGGGTGCGTTGAGCGCGTGCAGCTCGCGGGCGGCATCGGTGCTGAGCTGGCGCACGCGCTGAGTGTGTCCGGCCTGTCGGCGGCCGCGTGCAGTCCCGACGCCTCATGCCGCCAGGTACCGGTACAGCAGGGAGAACAGCAGCGCGGCCAGCACCGGCACCATCCAGCTCCAGCTGATGACACACACATACAGCCGCCGCTCAGTACCAGCTAGGGCCGCCGCTGGTCGACCCAGTCTGGACCGCTGGGCTGCGGACACTCGGGTTAATCCGCGCGGCTGGCTGGCACATAGCCCAGGCTGCCAGGCGGCCGCCCCGAGTCTGGCCAAAGGGACGTGACCGGTGTGCTCTCCCCCCCCCCCCCGCCCCTCCCGCTCCCCCTCTGGCCGACCAGCGGCCGTCAACCCTCACCCCGGCCACATCGACGGCGGCAGCGGCGCAGCGGCTGACGCGCCGCGCCGAGGCGAGCCCTCTCACCGGCCAGAGGGCACAGTCCGCACTCGCACTGCTCGACAGACGATAACCAGCTGATAACGTGCGGCGTGACGACCTGTTCACCGACTTCCACACACCCATACCTGTCACAGCTGATGCCTGCTCAGAATAAGGTTACGGATGAGCCGCGCGCTCTAAAATGTTGTCCACTTTGTTCAGTTCAAAAAGCATGTTAATGGTCAGTCTCACCCCGACGAACTCGTCTCCTGGGGAGCCGCCCAAGTAAACTTCTTCTCCTTGGTGTGAAGTTTGTCCTCCTGCAAAACAGTAGTCACAGACGTGAGTGTTCACTTCCGATGCAGGAGGCTGATTAGAATACCTCGCACAACACACACCGAAACTTTCACACTGTTCTTCTTAACGATGAGGAACGTTCTGTTTGTGGTTTGTACAGGTGTCTTTGAGCCCAAACCACACGCACAAGCAGGCATCCAGGTGAACGCCACGCACTTACCACGATAGTGCTCGAATATGACAAGAACTAGTACTCCATGAACAATCTCATATTGGGTATTTGTCCGGCCATGGCATACAGACAGAAGTGCAGAAGGTTGCGGTTTCCGGCGTATAATGCTCAGACACCGTCGGACCACGCCTACAACTCCATCGTACTGTCGACTGAAGCTCTTGAGCATTTCGAACCAAACAGTGCGGTCATTTGTGTGCCCGAGCCCAGTAAGGTTGAACCGCAAGCACCACCAGACCAGACGATCACAACTGTCGCGGGGCAGGCATCACAACACCGCTAGAGAAATCCTGCATGACGGAGAACTAGTCCCTTTACCACCGGCAGGGAGGAGGGGGCAGCAGCTAAACGGAAGCATCGGCGGCCCATCCGATCGCCTAACCACCACCCTCCGTGACCAGGCGAGCCTCAGGCAGGCTGATACGGCTGATCCGGCCGCCAGTGCCGCGTCTGCGCCCGCCTGCTGGGACGGGGGGGGGGGGGGGGGCGTGCGACCCACCTCGGTCAGCTCGCCGATCTCGTATTTCCTCATCAGCTCGCGGGCGTCTGTTGAGTGGCCGACGTCCTCGAAGTTCTCGGTGGCCACCTTGCCGGCCATGTCCTTGAGCACCTCCTCACCGCCCGGGTGCTGCCAGGCCAGACACGCAGGGTCAGGACGAGCCAGGCACGCAGGGTCAGGACGAGCCAGGCACGCAGGGTCAGGACGAGCCAGGCACGCAGGGTCAGCTCGGGTGCTGCCGAGCCAGACTCGCAGGGTCAGGACGAGCCAGGCACGCAGGGTCAGCTCAGGTGCTGCTGAGCCAAACACGCAGGGTCAGCTCGGGTGCTGCCGAGCCAGACTCGCAGGGTCAGGACGAGCCAGGCACGCAGGGTCAGCTCAGGTGCTGCCGAGCCAGGCACGCAGGGTCAGCTCGGGTGCTGCTGAGCCAGACACGCAGGGTCAGGACGAGCCAGGCACGCAGGGTCAGCTCGGGTGCTGCTGAGCCAGACACGCAGGGTCAGGACGAGCCAGGCACGCAGGGTCAGCTCAGGTGCTGCTGAGCCAAACACGCAGGGTCAGCTCAGGAGCTGCCGAGCCAGACTCGCAGGGTCAGCTCAGGTGCTGCCGAGCCAAACACGCAGGGTCAGCTCAGGAGCTGCCGAGCCAGACACGCAGGGTCAGCTCAGGAGTTGGCGAGCCAGACACGCAGGGTCAGCTCAGGTGCTGCCGAGCCAAACACGCAGGGTCAGCTCAGGAGCTGCCGAGCCAGACACGCAGGGTCAGCTCAGGAGCTGCCGAGCCAGACTCGCAGGGTCAGCTCAGGAGTTGGCGAGCCAGACACGCAGGGTCAGCTCAGGTGCTGCCGAGCCAGACACGCAGGGTCAGCTCAGGAGCTGCCGAGCCAGACACGCAGGGTCAGCTCAGGAGTTGGCGAGCCAGACACGCAGGGTCAGCTCAGGTGCTGCCGAGCCAGACACGCAGGGTCAGCTCAGGAGCTGCCGAGCCAGACTCGCAGGGTCAGCTCAGGAGTTGGCGAGCCAGACACGCAGTGTCAGCTCAGGAGTTGGCGAGCCAGACACGCAGGGTCAGCTCAGGAGCTGCCGAGCCAGACACGCAGGGTCAGCTCAGGTCCCGTGAGGATTCGCTCGGGGGCCTGTTGTTAAGCTGGTCCCCGATCATTCCGAAGCTGTTCGCTCCGGGCGAAGCCGACTTCGGAATGCTGCCAGGTCCAGCACTAAGCCGGGTTCTGCCCCGACATCACGTCATACCGTGTCGAGTTTTCTTGAGACCAGGCTACCACCGAGTTATGCCGAGACCAGGTAAGCTTCTGTCCGCGTTTGCTTAGCACATGGCTACTGGTCACTACAGCGATGCTGTCGAGCCCGGCACACAATGGCAGGCCACAGCCCTGCTCGCGTCTACCCGGGAACAGGTCAGCGACTGAGTGAAAAGCCGTGTTCCAACAAAACGCATTTCGGCATTTTCGCCGTTTACGGCGATGTAGACGTCGAATGAGGGCGGTGAACACCACGACAGACAGATCCATGAACTAGCTTTCAGCTACGACTTCGATTTTCGGGATTGTTTTTTTATCGTATCGTATCTGCTTGCCAAACTACCCACCAGCCTGATCTATCCACCTATTCACAGTTCTGCCCAGCCACCCCTGCATCTATCCACCCACACGCGGGTATGCCGTCGGTACGGCTATCCCAACACCCGTTGGTCCGCCCATCCCTGGCATGGGCGAGGCAGCTTGGCCGGCGCAGCGAGTTTAGCGGGTCCGGCTGTCTGCTCGGCGCCGCTCATCACCACTTGAGCAAACACGCTGCGTCACGGTGACGGCCGCGCGCCGCCCGGCAGTGCGGCTCGTCTCCCCAAGGTCGCGCCGCCTCCGCCGGGTGCGGCGGGGCTGACCCCGCAGCCAGCGGGCCGGCGGTCCCTCCACTGCAGCGGCGGCAGCTGTCGGCGGCTGGTCGGCTCTCTCAACCACAGCCTGGTGTCCAATCAGAAACGCTGCAGCACACACGCAGCGGACCTGGACAGTGAATGCTATCGGAAAACGTAAACTTACGCAGGTTGTGGCAGTAGATGGTAGCAAAGTTCCCCGATGAAAATGGAACATGCGGAGGCGTCAACCACCACATAACGTAAAAATCATCGAAGCTTAAAATGTTCAGCTGAAAGGCGTTTGGGTCAGCTATACAGAACAACGAAAATAATTGATTAGCAGCATTGTGAAGCGAAACTAGCAAATGTTGACACGTCAACAACATTCCATGCCTGCGATTATTCGAGTTCGATTTTTTTGATGGGATCATTCCACGACAGATCGCCTGGCGTCTAGCACTATCAGCCCTCAGATTTAGGTGAAACATGTTTTTGGGATCATCCTGCATCTGTGTACAGCGTTAATATGTTAATGCGCGATGGTGAAAATATGCATACGCAGCAGCCCCTGCGGTTCCCAGTTTGATGAAAATACAGCTGACCAAGCAATAGCCATCCAGCACTTTTGACAGGGCAGAGTACATGACCACAATTAGTGGCCAACTTGCCTGTATTTGGTTCCACAGTCTGCAAAGATGCAATCGCGCCACCAATGTCAGCCGACGGACTTCCATTTATTTTCACACGGCCCAGGCACACAGGCTGGCCGATTACGTGTCATGCCCCGCACGTTTGCCGTCCGTTTCGGCATGCTGATTCAGGTGGTGATCTCGACGCGGAATTGGTGTCGGAAGTGCAATTTTGGTTGTCTAATTTATTTTGTCGATCCCCTCCTATTTCTATCTCAGCCAGGACCATATGAACAAAAGGAGTTTGTGGTCACCGGTGTTCGTGGCTGCTGAGGGCTTATTTGGTTGAAAAGGAACTTCCATGAGTGCGACGGGTAAGGAAGGACTTGCCGACAAGCGCGATGTGAGGCAAACAACCAATGATTTCAGTGCATCTGTCGTTAATGTGGTGAAGGAGCAATTTTTCATGGCTGCGGACCTTTTATACAGTAGCCCTGGAGGAAATATTATGTTGCAAGTACCAAAAGCGGACGTTTGCGTCATATATGCAAGACTACATGCATCCAGAAGAATGGAATGGCCAAATTCACGGAACCACATTTTCTATGATCCATTCTGCAAAGTGTGGCAGGTGTTTGTAAGATCTCATTGTCGCAGGGCCGCATCAAACAAATGAAATTCGGACAGCTTTCTGGACCGGTTAATGTACCTCGTTCCATTCATTTGCGACAACTTAAAGGAACGCCAGGGGCGGGGCTTCATACTGTTGGGTCACCTCAGCCCACCCAACTCTACGGCAAAAAAAAGGGAACAGGTTTAGCCGCTTTCTCTGTTTAGCCCTGTTAACTACTTTGAAAAATGTGCCCCTGAGTGGCACATTGCCGAACATTGAAAATCAAGGCTGACAGGGACTTCGGACAAGATTCTGTTCTGTGCTGCCTACCCTGGCATCGACCCAGACTAGAGCCTGGTTCTTGCTGGATTTCAGCTTAGTTCTGAGCTATATCTTGGTTCTCGCTGGATTTCAACATGTCCTAGGCTGGATCGTGGTTCTTACTGGATCTCCTGACGTGTTAGGCTGGATCTGAGCTCTTGCTGGATCTTCCGACATAATTTCAGGCCGGATTTTAGTTCTTGCTGGCTCTCTTAGTTTAGTATCTGAGCGAATATTGGTTTTTGCTGGACATTTCAGCTTACTGGCAGGCTGGATCCTGGCCCTTGCTGAATCCTCAACCAAATATGAGGCTGGATCCCGGTCTGTGCCGGCTCCTCTCGGCCAAATATCAGACTGGTTCCTACGATATTCCTGTTTTCAGAACCAGGAACCGGTTCCCAGGAGCAAATCTTGAGACCCAGGCACATATCTGCCCCGGACTCGCGAGGTAGCCAGACCAATTGGAACCAAGGGGCATCCTGTTCGCTTCTATTCACCCCCATTCAGCCTAGTATTCATGTCGGCCCTTTGTCCTCGGGGTCGTGTTCCAATTTGACCTCTATCCCAGTCGACTTTTATCGTCTTGGACTACTTCCGATTCGACTTTTATCCTTTTCAACTTGTCCTTCGACCCTCGTCCCTGCCGACTGTTGGACAATTCGACCACTTGCGTTCGACTTTGCTCGTCTGACCAATCTGATCGTTCGCCTGTACGTCCTAGGCGTCGGACGGGACACGGGCTCGGTGCTCCACACAAGGGGCGCTGAAACCCCCATGGCTGGCACATGGCGCTTGCCGCGGATAAATTCGTCGCAACGATGCAAGACGAAGCGAAAATGAGAAAAGGAGGATGGGTGCTACTTCTATCCAGAGTAATGACTTCTGCCAATATTTAATACTTATTGAGAACAAGACGCTGCATTAGAGACCCACGAGACACGGTGCAAAACTGGCCGTTCCTCTTGCTTGAGCTGTGCGAAAATAAATCAGGACCTAGCAGCTGACTCTAATGGCGGATTCCGTCTGATCATACCAGATCAGAACGGCAGTCATTCGTTGCCGCATTGGCACTGGGCCAATGTGTGTCTACTATCAATGGGCCAGCTGGGCAACTGACAATAGGCCACTCAGTCATCACAACTGTCGGATTTATTGTTTTAGAAGTTGTTTTAGAAGTGTTTGCACCCTCGCTTCTCCGCGATAAGTTAGGTACGTGTAATTTTCAATTATCCATGCTCTGAAGGTTGATTCACGGCTCTGGCTGCCCTGGTTCCCAGATATGGCACAAAGCATGAAAAACTGTCGGAAATGGCCAGAGCCATTGCGCTGGCTCGTGCGCGCGCGACACACAGCACGCGCAACATGCCAATTTATACCACGTGATTGTCTGTTCGATTCCCTATCAATGCCTGGCACTCCCGAGTGTGTCCGTGCCGTAAGTACCGATACATAGCACAAAATTGGCAAATCTTTGAAAAATAATAAATTATAACTTTTCGGGGCGTGTTGGTGACACACAAACCGTGCTTACGCACACATGAAAACGCACGACCGGCCGTTTAATTCCTTATCGAGGTATGCCGAGTGCGTAAACGTAGCATGCAACGTAAAAAACTCGGGAAATCGGCAATGTGCATCTTTACAGCTAGTGTGCGCGTGCCATGCGACACGTGCGACATCAAATGTTGCACCACATGATTACTTGTAAGATTGCCTATCGAAGTATGCCGCTCTCGAGTCGTCCCGTGCCATGGGTGCAGCGATACCGCAAAACGTGTAAATCCGTTGGAAATAGCAAATTCCATTTTACCTCACACGTACGCCGTGATAGGTGGCACGTGTCACCAAATATCTTCACCAGACTAAAACATTTGGCAACCGGTTCAATCCTTTATCAAAACACGTCGCTGCCGAGTCGCTCCAAGCCTCCAGTGCCGAGATGGCATCGTGACTCGTGATCTTGTTGTTCGCTCCTCGTGCTTTGCAAATTTCAAAAATGAAAAGTTGAGAATCATCTAAGTCATTACGTGCATTTGCGAGGAGCGTTATGCACATAGATGAGGGAGAATAATTTCCTACTAATAGTCATTCTGATATATTCATGTAGCCGAAACATCAAATCTACAACTCCATTATCTTGTTTATTCTATAACGATCAGCCCACTCACACTGTCTCCCTTGTATGTTGAGAACTAACCATTATTCAGTCCGGTGAACTTTGGTTACTGTAAGGGGGACTTTATTCTTTACTGGTTTACATGTCACAGAGAACAAACGTATAAACAAAATATAACGGCGTTCATCTAGAAAGGGAAAAACGGCCGACGGATCTACTTTTGAGATGGTGCAGAAACATGGGCGACGGTTTTGTGGTTCCTAAGACATGAAGTACATCGTGCACGTTAGCGTCCAGTACTGACCTCATCCAGGAACCCGGTAACATTGTATACTCGGTCGTGGATGACGATCCAGACGTCCTTTTTCTGCTCGCCAACGTGCTGCTCCACTTCCTTCAGCGAGAACACCTTTTTGGAGCTCATGGCAGCTGCTGCGCAGTCTGGCGGAGACGCTGGGTCACGCGTCGGCCACACAGTCACACCCACACGCGTCCGCCAGCCCGCGCCGGCGGAGCAGCAGCGATGGCCGACCGTCCGCCAATCGTTGTCAAGGCGACAACGCAGCTCGTGACTCGCAGCGGCGCCGGTAATCAGTGGCGGCGGCGCGCCGGCGACCTCGAGGCCGGCGACTGCCGCTGTCACTGACGCCACCCGCGCCACCGACACTGCCCTGCATAAGACTGTCACCGCCCTCCACCAGGCTGACACTGCCCTCCAAAAGACTGTCACTGCCCTCCACAAGGCTGATACTAGCCTCCACAAGGCTGAGAACGCCCTCCACAAGGCTGACAATGCCCTCCACATGGCTGCCACTGCCCTCCACAAGGCTGGCACTACCCTCCACAAGGTTGACACCGCCCTCCCCTCCACGAGGTTGACACTACCCTCCACAATGCTGATACTGGCCTCCAAAAGGCTGATATTGTCCTCCACACATATGGACTGTTGTCCACCCAGTCGACACTGCTCTCCAACACGGAGATGCTTCGCATGATCACTTGACACCCCAGTCCACCCTGTCACTACTAAAGATTGTCCGGGAGCATGTGTCCTCAAGTCATTTCTTAAGGACTTGCCACATATACCCCGGTCGATGAAATGGAGCATACCTAATAGCTCACATAGACTACACAACATAACAACAATGCGACATACTATTGGGGAATGCGTTGTGAAAATCGACACGGCAATCAGCCACTCATCGCAAAAGCGCAAGGCGCGTACCTGAGAGGCTTATTTGCATGCTTGAGGGAGAGTTTTTGTGCGGCGATATTTCGGAAAATCTCATACTTTGAGTTTAAGATGCCATCGAAGGATTTAAATGGGATAAAGCGCAAGCAACAGTGCGTCCCTCCGTGGAGAATATGGGCATGAGAAATAGCGAGGAAATGACAGCACAAAGTTTATTCTGTGTATCAAGCGACTGTACACGGCATCGGACTGAGGCGGGATTCCCATTCCAGAAGAGGGCAAATTGCTGGGATAGTGAAACAGCTTACTCCGAAATATCGATCACCATATCGATGGATCGGCTACCTAATGCTAACTGAATATCTTTCGGAACGTGTGCGTTCGCCAAAGTCAATTTCAGATGGACTGAGCCTTACATTTCTCCGCAAAATGCCACGGAAAAGCCCGAGGTGAAGGAGGGGGAAACGTAAAGGCATCTACCGCGCGACCCAGTCTCCAAACACCGATGGCTAGTCAAATCATCAGCCCAAGGAACATGCCCGACTTCTGTATCCCGGCGAGACCCCACCTGGCAGCTTCAGGAATATAGTAAAGCATTGACCACCGTTCAAACCCCTCGCCCCCCCCCCCCCGCCCAAACGCCCCAACTGGACAGAACCAGGATTTTAGTCACTTCATCATGGGTCTAGAATTTGTGCAGTCTCTTGCCTGTGTGCAAGCCACGCCAAAACCTGGCCTGCCCGGTAGCGAGGAGAGGAATTGCCATTGTGTTTGCCGATCTTTAATTTTTCGGTTGCCGGAAGGGGCAGCAGAATTATTGCCTGTCGTTATTCGTCTACGGCCATCGCTGAGTTCATTTCGGTGGACCTAGTTTTTTTACGTGCTCTGGATTTACGATAGTCCCCTAAAACCCAACAATATGTAGTAATGCTACACATTTTCCATGTCAGCATTCTTACTGAATTTACCTTAAACTTGACCTAAACACTGCACTTGTTTCCGGTATTACAGCACTACGTTTCTTTCCTACAGTCGCAACGACCGTCGGCACGAGAACAACCGTGCGTAAATCTATAGGTAGGTAATATATAGGTAACTAAATAGGTTGATGTTCACGTTGTTTTGTCAAAATAGAGTGCTGTAGGGTTTCGTAGCACATATTGACCTTTTGACACATCAGTGTGTTACGGACGTAAGAGAGCACACACGTTGGAAAAAAACAAGGCAAATGAAATGTATTGCTTTCATAGTAGTGAGCAGGGAGCCAAACGAGATTTTTCCGCAGGCCGTTACTCCAAATATACGCTTTGAGCTGTTCAGAGGTATTCCGATAAAACTGGTATTGCTGATGAAATCGTACGCGTCTGATGTAATAATGAGCGAAAAGCACAAAACGGGTAAGATGCCTTTGCCTAAGATCCCTTTAAAGGGAATGCTCCGCGTGCGAAGATATTGAAGCAAGCACGAGCCATGATAAAATAAACTCACCTATAGCTGTTGTGTGAACTCAAACTTTTGTACTTTTACGGGGCGTGTCCCACATTTATATGGGGCTTTGAACTGAAATAGCCATCTTGGAGATCTTTCGGTGCTGTTTGCAATCCTGCCCTTCGTAAGACCCAAGCCTTCTAGTTTCTAAGCTAAACGCCCGCGAAAGTGGGGAAAGGTATATCGGGGAGAGCATTTCAGTCACCTTGGCATTTATGGCGTCACAACCGCGTCATTCAGATCCTGACATTCCACAGGCCACGCGGCGATCAAGGCAAAAAAAGTATTTAAAAAACGTCGAGGCATTCATATCTGGTGTTTGCGATCGCCTCTCCCGTGAACAACAGCCGTTACAGCCGTGAACTGGCTCTCAATCAATGTTGTGCAAGGTACGATGACGTAATCAAACCATGATGCATTGAAGAACATATTCACTATACAGAGGACTGTATGACACTTAAAAGTATGCCATTAGTTGTGAGTGAGCTTGTGCGATAACATCTAAAGCCCGCTTCAATATCTTTAAATGTGAGACATTCCCTTTAGCTGTACTTTTGTGTAGTTTGGTGTACTTTTAAAGTGGAAAAGACTCTATAAGTGCCAACTTTGCTCCTCCTCAATACGCCACAACTTGATTGCGTCATGAGACGTTTGTACGTCGTTGAGGCGCTGCCAAACTAGCGCTGCGAAATTATCACCCGCAGCACTTCAAATTAGGCTCGCCCGGGGGTGAGAGCGAAGAATGAAAGTGTTGGCTGGGCTAAATTTGGTGATGTCCTCGTGTCTTGGCCCTTTATCGTGGTGTTATTGTACAGTTATCCGTGAGTTTTAACACGCGTCCAGATGGCCGGTTGAATGACCTTCGCTCGGGTGGGGTGGGGGTCAATTTGACCTCCCTCTGAGATGCTAGGTACTATGAGAGCTCCCAGAACCCAGATACCTCTTTAAAGCAAACGGTTTCAAGCTCATTTACAGCCAGTGAACTTGTTTGATCTTTCAAAGGTTATGGTGACCAAAATCATAAAGACTGCTCTGAGTTTTTCATTTGAATAAGCGACAAAGATCACGCTAGGCAGTATGCTCCTAAAAACAAAATGCTGATTTGGATCATTCCAGGTCAGTGACCTATTGTGACCTTTAAGAAGCCCATGGAAAATATAGAGCGTGGTTCCCGTGATCAGTAAATCCGAAATGAGAACCAAAAACTACCTACACAGCAGGCCCTAAAGTAATAAAGCAGGTTTATTTTGAACTTGGTCTGGCCTTCATACCTGACCCTAGGTCAATGTAATGTGTTCATTCAATTGTTGAGTTATCTAGGAAAATATTTCACAGATGCATAACTTCTTCCAACACTTTGCTGTTGCATCAAATTAAACGCTTCCCTATAAATCAACTTCCCTCCACCCATGGCCTGACTGCGACCTGCCGTAGGTCAGCGACTGTAAAAGGCACATCTTAATTCTTGATATCAAGTGATCCGTTATTTAATTGTCTAGAGCTACGCACAATTTGGCGCCACTACGCCGCGTCGTTCGGCAACCATTCCGGAAAACCTTTGGGGGTCAGATTGAACCCATGCGAACATGTGTTAAATGTTACTTGCTTCGACATGCTCGGTTAGGGGGTCATTCATCAGTTATTCGATTACAAGTCCATTCAGTAACGACTAGCAAGTGAAGAAGCCATGCCAAACTTATTTTATTGTGTAGCAGGAAATGTGCTCGATGGCTGGGGCTTGTACAGCTTCCTCAACATTGTTTGAGGGTCATTTTAAGTCCACGATGTTTGGAAGTTGCGCTCAAGGACGCAAAATCTGAACGACTCGAAGATATCATTCTTCCTGGCCTTGAACGCTGTCTGATCTGCGACGTCGTAGGATTCGAATGACGTTGCTATAGCGTCAAGTATGCCTAAATGACCTTGGAGTAGTCTAAGTGAAATAGTCTGCACATCCCCGCGGGCGTATACCGTAGAAACTAGGTTTTAGGACTTTAAAAAGACATGGCTGTTAACTGCACTGAATGATTTTCAAAAACGCTGTTAACGCTGAAAACCCCCTGCACGTGTGCAACACTCCCTTTAAATTTTGGGCCTGTGATAAATATTTCCCCGGATGCCATTGGTTAAAAATTCCCCTTTCCAAAGATGAAAAAGACAAACTATTATAACTCCAGAATGGTAGCTCTAATGACTAATTTTCTCAGCATCGTGTTGAGAGACAAAGTCGCGCAGAGAAAGGCCCTGCACACACAATTTTGTCTAAACCCGACACGGTGACATGAAAATGACTCGGCAAGTTCACATACCCAGCAACATACTTGCAATTTTTCACATCAATTCTTAAATAACCCAGAATCACAGTCCCCATGTTTGCATGGAATCCATAGGCATGAACACCATCCTTTGGGAATGACACCTAACTTTGCTGCCCTTTGTGTGCTCTATCTATGGACACCAGACAAGGATATGGTGGGTAACAGAGCCATGACCAGGATTTCATGTCTAAGGGAACATGTCTATGAGAACAAATTCAGCCTGTCTGAAACAGAATGTTACACATTTTTAGACAGTGAAGGAAGCATAAGATATGATGAAATCACCTCCCTTACTTTACACCAGTTGGTATAATTTTGGGCAGAAAACAATGCTTCGGACACCATCTTTTCTCCATTAAGTAAACATGCTCCTCAATAAATCATATTGTTTAATTGTGTCATTACGCCTTGCAAGAGCCAAGTGACGGTTCATGCACCTGGAA